AAAGTAAATAGTAAAAGTTAATGTGGAAAATAAGTGAAAGAAATAATATAAAAAGTTGGTGGAGAAGTAGGTGAAATAAAATATAGTAAATAGTAAAAATTAATGTGGAAAATAAGTGAAAGAAATAATATAAAAAGTTGGTGGAAAATTTAGATGAAATAAAATATAATATAGAAAAGTAAATAGTAAAAGTTAATGTGGAAAATAAGTGAAAGAAATAATATAAAAAGTTGGTGGAAAAAGTAGGTGAAATAAAATATAGTAAATAGTAAAAATTAATGTGGAAAATAAGTAAAAAAAATAATATAAAAAGTTGGTGGAAAATTTAGATGAAATAAAATATAATAAAAAAAATGAATAGAGAAAGTTAATGTGGAAAATAAGTGAAAGAAATAATATAAAAAGTTGGTGGAGAAAGTAGGTGAAATAAAATATAGTAAATAGTAAAAATTAATGTGGAAAGTAAGTAAAAAAAATAATATAAAAAGTTAGTGGAAAATTTAGATGAAATAAAATATAATAAAAAAATTGAATAGAAAAAGTTAATGTGGAAAATAAGTGAAAGAAATAATATAAAAAGTGGGTGGAGAAAGTAGGGGAAATAAAATATAGTAAATAGTAAAAATTAATGTGGAAAATAAGTGAAAGAAATAATATAAAAAGTGGGTGGAGAAAGTAGGTGAAATAATATTGATGAAGAAAGAAAAGTTGGTATATAAAAATTAATAAGGAAATGAGGTGGAAAAAGTAAATAAAAAAGGTAGATGATGTGGAATGTGATATGGAGGGTGAGGTGGATGGTGATGTGGAGAGTGGGGTGTGAAAAGAGAAAATGGGTGGTGAGGAAGTAAAAAAGTGTGAGATTATTTTGGGCCATTAAATTAAGGAATAAAAATTTAATTTGGGGGTGCAAATAGTAAAACAAAATAATATTTTTTTTTTATTCTTTTGTTCTTTTTTTTTTNATAAGTGAAAGAAATAATATAAAAAGTTGGTGGAGAAAGTAGGTGAAATAAAATATAGTAAATAGTAAAAATTAATGTGGAAAGTAAGTAAAAAAAATAATATAAAAAGTTAGTGGAAAATTTAGATGAAATAAAATATAATAAAAAAATTGAATAGAAAAAGTTAATGTGGAAAATAAGTGAAAGAAATAATATAAAAAGTGGGTGGAGAAAGTAGGGGAAATAAAATATAGTAAATAGTAAAAATTAATGTGGAAAATAAGTGAAAGAAATAATATAAAAAGTGGGTGGAGAAAGTAGGTGAAATAATATTGATGAAGAAAGAAAAGTTGGTATATAAAAATTAATAAGGAAATGAGGTGGAAAAAGTAAATAAAAAAGGTAGATGATGTGGAATGTGATATGGAGGGTGAGGTGGATGGTGATGTGGAGAGTGGGGTGTGAAAAGAGAAAATGGGTGGTGAGGAAGTAAAAAAGTGTGAGATTATTTTGGGCCATTAAATTAAGGAATAAAAATTTAATTTGGGGGTGCAAATAGTAAAACAAAATAATATTTTTTTTTTATTCTTTTGTTCTTTTTTTTTTTGTGAAACCTTATTTACCCGGACGAAATTGGGTATTGACACCTAGAATATATCTTTATTTACTATAAATATCTTATACTGAATATTTTTCCTAGAATATATCTTTATTTAATATAACTATTTCCCGCCCATCCTAACTGTTATAGCAGTTAGGATAGTCACTCTTCAACTGATAGGCTCCAACTCTTCACCGCCTTCCACCGTTCGGATTGCTTCCCCCTTCCTCCTACCGTTCGGCTCTTGCTCTTCACCGCCTTCCACCGTTCGGCTTGCTTCCCCCTTCCTCCTACCGTTCGGATCCCCTGCCTTCTATCCTATCACCCTATATCCTAACAATACACCCCGCTGCAGAACAACCTTATCCTCAAGGTTGGAACCGGGGAGCTTGATCTCATGACTCCTCTTCAATTCAGGTTTGGAGGCTCGGGTAGTGGCAATTCTTCCTCGTCCTCCGCGAATATCACAACTCTCAAGCTCCTTTCCGGGCAATGGTGACCAGGACCAAACGATCCGCTGCATATAAAGCACCTCCCTTCTTCCCTTCGTTTCACATATTCCTCATAGGGCAGATTCCTCATGTTTCTTCCCTTGTTGCTGAAAATCGATTTGCCCATCCCACTCCCTTGTGTTCCTTCCTTTCTTCTTGACCCCACACTCTCCGTGATATTGGGGGAACGATGAAAATGATATTTTTTTTGGTGCTTGCTGTTATGAGTGATTTAAGGCCTCACTATACAAGAGTTTAGGTTTTTATATTCTTGCAATTTATTTACTTTATTCCAATGTAGTGCCATGTCCAAGTTTGTAAATAAGATTGTTGATGGTGGCAGCACTGCCCTTCATATCGCTGCTTTAAATGGATACTTTGATTGCGTACAACATCTACTTGATCTTAACGTCAATGTGTCTACTGTGACATTTCATTATGGAACATCAATGGATTTAATCAGTATCTCTTTTATATAATGTGTTTAATATCTCTTATGGTTGTTCTTCCCCCACACCTCCCTTTCAACATAACTAACGTGATTTGATCCAGGGCTGGAAGTACTCCTTTGCATTATGCTGCTTGTGGAGGCAATTTAAAATGTTGTCAGGCAAGATTTGATTTAGCTTTGATTTCAATATTCCTAGTGGCTTTTCCTTTGAAACTGGAACTGATGTTATTCTTTTCAGATCCTTGTTGCACGAGGTGCAAGTCGGATGGCTTTAAATTGCAATGGGTAAGATATTATTATATATAAATGTTTATTCAGTGAAAACTTTCACTTGCTTGATATCATACTAATACAAATTTGGACCTTTTGCCCCTAGGTGGCTTCCTCTTGATATTGCTAGGATGTGGTGTCGTCATTGGCTTGAACAATTACTGGCACCCATTTATGATACCACAATACTATTTGTCCTTGCCTCTCATGAGTGTGCTCAACAAAGCTAGGTATTTTACAATCCTCTATTATTGTTTCTCCAACCAACTGTGTTTCTGTGTAGATCTTTAGCAGATTATTTGGGACCATAATTCCATTGAAAAAAAAAGTAAAGTAATTTAGGTAAGGCATGCAAGTAGGCTTGTATATCTTTATTTCAACCGGTGTATGAACATTTTTTTTGTTAAAGAACATTATGCGATAGGTTTTACATTTTTATTTAATGAAGAAGATCCATTTTTAATTTGTTCTTCAGAAGGATTGCTTGGATGACTTAATTTATGCAATAATGTATGAGACAACCAAGTTGGCTTATAAGGTTTCACAAGATCATGTTATTTGAGCTTGTAATCAGGTGTCCACCATTACTCCCATTTTTCACAGTTTCTTTACCCTACTAATTTGGCTTTTACATGCAAGATACATTGGATTAGTTGGTGCTCAATTTACTTTTGCATTCTATTCACTGGTAGCTACTTAGAATTGTGTTTTTCACAATTGAAATCTTCACTCCTGCTCCACATAGATGGAACAAGTCCAGTAGTTGAAGTTTCCTTGTTGTTTATATGTTTATATGATTGTCCTACTTTTGTTGCAAAATCATCAGGGTCCATTGCCTTTACATTTTGTTATGTTTCAACCATCACCGGTAATAATTGCTAAATTCATTTGTATAATTCTATTTATTAAATATACTAACTAAGTATTATGTTATATTGTAGGTATTTGATCAAGCCAAACAATGAAAGTAACAAAGAACAAAATTAGACATTATTTCTTTTTTAGTAATGTAATGAACATCTCAGTCATATTTTTAGTATTGAACATCTTTCTTTTTAATATATGAACAATTAGTTGTATGAACATATTAATATGTTGAACAATGTACTTTATTTTATATACAATATTCAGTTTTAGTTCATATTATTTCATTGTCTGTTTGGTTAATAAAACTAATTTTATCATAATCCCATTTTATTACAATAAAAAACTAAAAAAAAAAAATTTGTACACATTTCCAGCGGTTTTAGCAAACCTCGGTTAGTTCTGGCGGTTTCAGCAAAACCCCTGTTAATATCGGTGGTTTTCACAAAACCTCCGCTAGTACCAGCGGTTTTCAGGACACCCCCGCTAATACCGGCGATTTTCAGAAAACCCCCGTTAGTACCGGCGGTTTTCAAAATTCTAAAAATTGCGGCAGTTTCTCAAAAAACTGCTAATAATTACTTAGCGACGCAACTTTTTCCAGCGGTTTTCCTAACCACGGATAACGTATTTTCCGAGGTTAAAACTGCTGGAAATGGAAAAAATAACCTCGATAAAAATGTAGATTTTTGTAGTGAGAGGGATAAAGAATGGCCACAGCCCCACTAGGCTTTCCTTTTATTCTTTCTCTCTCTTTATTCTTTTATTTTAAATTTCAACTTTTCCAAATAAAAAAATTTGATCAGTAAATTATTTTATCCTCGCTATTAACTTCGTTACGATGACTGGGATATAAGATTCTAAGTTTCCAAATAAAGCACTAAAAATCATGATTTTACCACAGAAAGTTTAAACTCTAAATAAAATTCTGATTTTATCCCACAAATACTATAATTATAAATCCATATTTCAAACCTATTTACAGGTAGGGGAAAATGCTAATCTATAATAACAAGACGTGAAAGTAAAATTATTAACTACCAATAATTTAAAAAATAAACTTAATTGTTTTCAGTGACTTTTGAAATTTTTAAACGCTTTTCATAAAATTATGAAATTATTTTAATTTTTATTCTTTTCAGATTTTATTTTATTTTATTTTAGCATATAAATTTACTAAAATTCAAACTGAAAAAACAATTATAACAGATCCGTAACGTAACACTTCCACTTAAATCGCTACGGTAGCATCGAAGTCAGGCGCATGATGGAATGCGAAGGGTTTGTATGAGCATCAGAATTTGATATTCTTTGGAATCCGAAGAGTCTACATTCTCATTTCTTTGAAGCCAAAAGGGACAGAAAGGAAGCAAGAAGAAATGGAAGAAGAGATAACGGTGAATGGAAAAAGTTCAGTCCTTATAAGGCTAAAGGATACTCCGCCCAGAGTCTGTTCGAGAAAAGAAGACATGAAACGTTTAGACGAAACTGAGGATTGTTTCGTGTTAGATTTCGACCCACATCACTCGTTGGACGACAAAAATAGCCACCAATGTGATGCCTCTAAGGATTTCTACATTGTTGGTGAAAACGGTAAGGTAATATCGACAAAACCTATCATAGATAAGATTTTACTTCATTATATATTACAGTATTCTTAACCCTCCCACAATTGTTGTCGCTGCATGGCTTGAAGGGTTTGTTTTGGTTTGGAGGTGAAGTAAAATGTCGCAAAAAGTTTTCATTTCTGAATCAAATTTTTGAGAATATTCTTGCTGCTTTAGTGATGATTGTTGTCGAATTTTATTATTTAAAAGTTATTTGTTTCTCTCAAATGTATAGGTAGCTTGCAGGGATTACCCACATCCAAGACATCTGTGTGTTAAATTTCCGTTTACCACAACACCTCACCAGAGCTATTGCGAACTGGTAATTATTAATTAACATGTGATTTGAGTTGCTGTCTTTGTATTTTGCCTGTTAGTGTTCACCTTAATTCCGCGATCATATGTGCAGTGTTACTGTCGTGTATGTGGCATACGTGCTCCTTGTAAGCATTGGACCGGATCAAAGTCCCCACACTGTGATGAAGTTTATCATAAATTTTCAAGCAGAGTTTTTGGAATTCGGGGAATATGAAGAAATCTGTAGAATATAAACTGAATTTTTTGTTTTCAGTTGTATGATGATGTTCCTGGGGAATGGGGTACTTTATTAGCTTCAAATTTTGCTTTTTTCTGTGTGTGCAGAATTACCTTATGTTACCTTATGTAATTCTGTAGATTTCGCATCCCTTTCACTTCATGTTTTTATGAATGGCTATTAAAAAGAATGTTTAGAAACAGGAAAATTTTATTTAACTTGACCATTTTTACAAGGAAAAATAGTCTTAACACAAAAACTGCGGGTGATCCATGAAGAAAAATCATGTTGCACAACATAAATTATTTATTTCTCACGTTCAAAACAAAAAAAGATGACTTAACTTTAAAATCGATTCTCTGATATAAATAATCGATTCTTTGATTCTTTGTAGGATTCTTCATTATATATATATATATATATATATATATATAAATGATAATTCTCAATTTTGAAAAAAATATCAAATCTCAAATTTTATACATATATAAATATTAATATCAATAAATAATTAATACAATATAATAAAATAATTTATAATAATACTAATATAAATAATAGTAGTAGTAATAGTAATAATAGCTATTATAATAATTATTATTATTATAATAAATTAAAACAATATTAACATAATTTAACTAATGTCAATAAATATATCAAAAACTCAAGAATCACCACTCGCATCATTAATATATAATCAATGTCAAAATAATTCTCTTTTATCATAACAGGAAAAAAAAGTGTATTGAAAGTAAATGATACATTAATATGGTGATAATAGTGTACATATATAGCAAATGTAAATAATATATGATCTTGTAATTATGTTTCACATTAAAATTTTATAATATCGTTCTAAGTTTGTTTTTCAATTGATTGAATTGTCTATAAGTTAATAGTGAAATAATCAACAAAGCGAAAATAAAAACAAATTACATGATTTAAAAGAAAAAAAAACATAGCTTTATGAAATATGAAAAAATTATTATATGATATAAATAATCGATTCTTAATTATATATAAATTCCATTTTAATAGTATAGAACTATTAAAATAAAATATACATACATGATAACTTACAAGAACTTGAGATTAATAGAGAGAAGATTATATCTTTGAAGAGCAAAAACTATTTATCTTGTTGCTTCTCTCTCAACCAACTGCTGCAAAATTGAAAAGATGTCTCTTTCCTAAGCTCACACTAGTTAAGGTAATCATTGCAAAAAAGAAAACAACAAAGAGACAAAACACAAAAACAAGGGTAAACTAGTGATACAAAACATTTCATAATATACTTAAGTATTTTAAACATTCCACAATGATACATATAACAATTTAACCAACCATAACACTTTACACATGACCATACTTTAACTGGACTGTCTCGACTTAGAATGAATGGCGAGCTATGGCGGGTTATGCACTTGTGGTGACTTCTACTGCTTTGCAAAGTCATTGCCAATGAGTTTCACCCTACCACACTCACAAGGTTAGTCTGCTCCACGCCCTAGATCATACTAGAAGCACTCAAGAATAAGACCTAATACTCTTCTACCCACATGTGTCAATCTTCTCTACTTGAGAATGAAAGACCATTAGAGTGTTAGGATAACCCCAAGATTGAGCTCATTGCATTCATACTAATGATACTTGAAACCACCACTGAGAAGTTCCTCCTTGGAACTTTCATCCATACCTTTGAAACCATTGAGATCACTTCACATTCACATAGTACATCAATATATGAGACTACTAATCATACATTAAAGAAATATAAATACACATACAAGTCATAAGAAATCACACAATAACACAATTTCTTCATAGCAACATGATAATCCTACTTAGGCAAGAAAAACAACTTTGAAACCCTCACCAATAGCTTCAGAAGGTTCCAAAACCCCCCAAAATGACCTAAAGAACATCCAAAACTAATACCTGAAACCCCAAATTTTATATTTTCAAAACCTGAAAAAGAAACTAAAACTAGTACGGTAGTCACTACTAGAAAAATCGCTGTTAAATACGACCAAAATCCATATGTAAGCTCAAAAATCCGTATGTAATGATGAGTTACATACGAATTACATACGGACAAAAATCCGTATATAATGTGGTCATAAATAACTTTACATACGCATAAATTCATATGTAATTACATATGGATATTACATACAGATATTAGATACGAATATTACATGTGGATATTACATACAGATATTACATATGGATATTACATACATATATTACATACGAATATTACATACGAAAAAAATCCGTATGTAAGCGCACACAGATTACATATAGATAAATCTGTATGTAACAATGTTGGCAGATTTAAATGTATGACCTGGTGCAAAGATCCCACATACCTGTAAAATCAGTTCAATCATACAAATGGAAACATTTTAAAGACGCACAATACTCTCATACATTCATATATTGATGGAATAATAATAGTCTTCCATCATATAAGATATCTAACAAGTTACTAATAATATCAAATGTCTGAAATTCCTAATACTAATAATCCTTATAAGGATTTATTAACTTGTGACATTTCATCCACTTGGTATGGAACATCGGGTTGTGCAAGAAATGATACACAATTAATATTGAAAGGAAAGGTGAAAGAGAGAGGATGAAAAGGAGTAAAGATAATGATATACAAAAGGGAATATGTTGATTCTGTAATGAAACATTATACACTACAATGATGTAATATAGACCTCTCTGGGAATATATATATATATATATATATATATATATATATATATATATATATATACTAATTATAGTTTATGCGCACGGACTTGGAAGCCTTGTAGAGTCACTTCTACGAAAATCTAATGTTGATTTTAATGTATGTTTTCAACATCCTTTCTAGGTTCAGTAGTTTAACTCTTGCCAAGAAAGGCTGTAGAGTTTTGGTTAGAACAAGCGATATCGTCGAGTCGCGCAGCGGAATAAAATTGCGGAAAGCATGTTCGGTCAATTTAAAAAAAATGGTTCCTTTAATTTTCTTATAAATGTTTTATCAAATAGTTGATGTGCAGAAAATGTAAAAAGTATAGGGAGTAGAAAAATCACATAAATGAATTTTATCTTGGTTCGAATCAAAAGATTCTACGTCCAGTCGTTAATCACTATGAATAGTGATTAACCTTTTTCACTAAAAACAGTTTCACAATTTGTACAGATTACAAGATAATAAATGGAGATTAAGAAATGAGAACACCTTTCGTTCGACAAACGAACGGAACAATCTTCCTTCGACAAAAGAACTAGAAGCAGCTTCCTTCGACAAACGAACCGGAAGCAAGAACACTCAGCCAACTTGAAGAGAACCGCTCCAACCTTTGACACACAAAGCGCGAGCTTCTCCTTTTCACAAGACTTGACAAGAACAAGAACTAACACTTGAGAACATCCTCAGATTGCATTGTATTCTCAAAATCGCAAAGTTTCCTTTTCACTCTCAGAGAGTTTCCCTTAGGCACAAAGCTCTAATACTGTCAAATTGAAAAGTTACTTTCTAAAAGTTGTGAAGACCTCTATTTATAAGGCAGGGTCAGATTTTAAAAGAACACTTCCCAATTGCCAATGATAATCGATTATTGTAAGTAATAATCGATTATCCTTGTCCGTCATGGGAATTTTCAAAAAGTGATAATCTATTATTCTGAGCAATAATCGATTATCTGCGCATGCAAAGTTTATTCAAATGAGCTCTGTGATAATCGATTATTACACCAAATAATGAATTATTTATGCAGACTTCCTAAAGACAGGAAAACTTCTAAGTGTTTACATCAACAAAGTTATTCCTATTACAATTTATTCTACAAAAATGCTTTTAAAATAAATACAACAAAAGTCTTTAAGTTCTTCATCTTGTACCATCATCAAAACCATAATATCTTCAAGACACCAATGCTCCTCATTGGTAACAATCTCCCTCTTTTCGATGATGATAAAAAATCTCTTATTTAAAAGCATTTCTAAATATCTGCAAAATTTCATACTTATAAACATATAAAGATGTTAGTAATAATTATACTAATTAGAAGTTTTCTCCCCCTTTTTTATCATAAGCAAAAAGTAAAAATAAATACTCCCCCTCAAATATTGCTCCCCCTCAACAAAAGAATGGATGCAATTCAAATATTATAAAATTATTGAGTACTAGATGTAATTCAAATATTATAAGGAGAAAAAAGTAATTAATCTAGAGCAGAGATAAAAAACAAGATATCAAACAAACTCATATATCTTTCTCTCAAATAGGTACCATTTATTACAAGATTATGACATAAGATGTCAATAAAAATTTCTCCCCTTTTTATCATAAGAAAAAAAATCATTAATAAAAGTTCCCCCTCAAATGGTTCTCCCTCTCAACAAAAGAATAGATGCATTTCTTTTAAAATAAAATTTAAATTTTTATAACATGAAAGAGCAAAATACATCATGAATTACATAATGGAAATTCAACTCGAATCAAGAAATACAATTAAGAGTTAGAAAGGAGGGGTTTGGAGGATAATCAGGAGGTTGAAGATGTCAATAAAAAAATTCTCCCTCTTTTTTTTTATCATATTTAAAAGATCATATAATCTTTATACTCTCCCTAAATTAGTTAACTTTAAAAGAATTTAGGACCTTTTAATTCATTAAAAAATTCTCCCCCTCTTAAAATCAAAAACAGATTCGAAGAATTTTTTTTTTTACGTTTTTACTTAAGATAATCAATTATTACACCAAATAATCGATTATTTGCTAACCAAATTATTAAAATTCATATTTTGAGACCAAGATAATCGATTATTACCCTTGGTAATCGATTATTTACGTTAATTTCCAAAAAACGTAAATTTGGCCAAAATTTCAATCTAACACACATCTAGCATTCATAAATTATTTTCAAAGCTCTTAAATATTACCAGGATACCATAGAGCTTTCTTTTTCCTTTTGAGAATTCAACCTGCAAAACAAA